GGGATGAAATTGTCTAATAAAGTCATAATCGTGTGAATTACGGTAAAACCCCCAAAGAAGCAGTTAAGCATACTACAAGAAGTTGATTTAAATAGGTTTCAGTTTAGTAATTATGAAGAGGGTACAATTAATATTTGTGGCAGCTACCTTTTCTTAGGAATTTATCATTCTCTCCCCAGTCCCTCCCATCTTCCAAATCCACCACCACTACTGGTATGTTTTTTATACAACAGAACAAGGTCACAGCAGCATACTTTGCCTGGAATTTCCTACACCCAACATTCCTCATTTAAAAGCTCTTGGTTTAGTGGTGTTAGCTAATACACTCACAGTTGATGTACATAAAAGTTTTATAATATGGCCCTATCTATGGTGATATTTTAAATCATTTGAAGATTGAAAATCTAATCATCACTACTCAACTTTCAGGGTTACTTGATTAGCTGCGTTTGGAACTGCTACCGATACATCAATGGAAGAAACGCCTCCGATGTCCTGGTTTATGTCACCAGCAACGACACTACGGTAGGTGCAACCCCACTTACCATGTCACCTGGTCGCCTCTGAAGGTTTCTGGTGTTTGTTGTGCTGGTCCAAAGAGATCCAGGATTTGTGTTGTTGAAAACGAGTCCTCAAAGGGCTCTAGAGTTGAACAAAAGTGTTTTCCATTTTCCTTATAGTATTAACATTTAGATAATCATTGTCTTGTTGATTTAAAAATATATTTTTTAGAAAGTAATATGTACCTCCAATTCATTTTTAGGTATTTTCAACCTTAGTTTTTAAACCATGGGAGCCCTGAATAGTGTAGTGGGCTTTGCACTGAGCTGCAAACCACAAGGTCAGCGGTTCAAAGATGAGGCTGTCTATCCCCATAAATAGAAGAGTGGCACATGTTGCTCTATTTCTGAACTGCCCTGCTTGTGAAAACCTTCTTAACATGATGGTGCCAATCTCCAGTCAGCTGCTCATTGTCCCTATAAATGCAAACATTTAAATCTACCAAATAAGATTTTGGAAAATGCATCCTAGCTGTACCTGATGTAAATTACTTTGAAGCAGTCTGGAATGTAAAGATAAAAACACAAGTGTTCTTGGCATTAAGCATCAGGTGTCTTCACCTTCGTATTCAGCACAGTACCTGGAGGGCAGGGCTCATTAGAAGTCAGTGCTCTGATGTAACCAAGAGGAATTACTGAAACCCAAATGAAGGATGAGCATGACAGTGAGACAAGAGGAAAGTAAAAGGAAATAGAGGAAAGAAGTAGGAGGCAAAGGGCATTTATAGAGGTCCAAGTACAGGCATATACATATGTAAATATATTTATATATGACAATGGGGAAATAGAACTATGTGCATATATTTATAGGTTTAGTATTACGGTAGCAGATGGACAATACTCCCTCAAGGCAGTAACACTTTGTTCTATTAAACTGCCATTCCATTATGCTCACCTTCTTGACACGATTGCCAAAGGCAAAGCAAATGTGAAGAAAGCTGATGGAGCCTGGCTATCAAAAGATATAGTGCCTGGGGTCTTAAAAGCTTGAAGATAAATAGGTGGCCATCTAGCTGAGAAGCAACAAAACCCACATGGAAGAAGCCCACCAGCCTGTGTGATCACAGGTGTCAATAGGATCAGGCATCAAAGAACAAAAAATCATATCATTGTGAATGAGGGGGAGTATAGAGTGGGGACCCAAGCCCATCTGTAGGCAACTGGACATCCCCTTACAGAAGGGTTGCGGGGAGGAGACGGGTCAGTCAGGGTACAGCTGAGCAATGATGAAACATACAACTTTCCTCTAGTTCTTTAGTGCTTCTTCTCCACCACTATCAAGATCCCAATTCTATCTTAAAAATCTGGCTAGACCACAGAATGTACACTGGTACAGGTAAGAATTGGAAACCTAGGGAATCCAGGACAGATAAACCCCTCAGGACCAATAATGAGAGTAGCGATACCAGGAGGTTAAGGGGAAGATGGGGTAGAAAGGAGGAACCAATCACAATGATATACATATGGGTGAAGGGAGACGCCGGACTCTG